ATTGACTCAGCCCTCACCACACACCCAAGACGTACGCCAAGATCTCCCCGGTTGTTACCACATTATCGGCACTAAGTGCCTTAGCCACTCAGAAACATTCCTCCACCAAGCATCACATCATAGATATAATGCGTAGTAGAAGCAGTAGTAAGTAAGTAAGCAAGTGTCTATCCTAATAGCGGGTGTGCAAGGGTATGAGTTGCGACAAGGTAATGGCTTACAAGCAATTCTACCATGCAACCTATCACAAATCATTTTCATAAAAGTAAACCACTAGCATCTATTTTATTGCCTGTCTAATAGGATTCTATGAGGTTGGGTGGGACATGGCACCTATAGGCAAATCTTCTCCAAGCTCCTCGGTGTAGTCGGGGTCGTATTCCTTAGTATGTGGCTCCTTCGGGTCTATCAAATGGAACATATAGCCGTAATAAGCGAGTCCTATAGATGATCACAAAGAAGCAATTGAAATTCAAAAAATCTAAATGCACTCAAACATAAACCTATGATGTAGAGCTTATTTTTAGAAAATTTTGGGCACTGGTTTCATATTTTTCTAAGGTCAGATGAGTTTACTATGAGTTTTCTAAGTTGAAATCATATTTTGAAATAAAAAAGGAATTAGATTAACCAGAGGATGACACGTGGCAGCACGTGATTGAGCGAGGTGGTTCTAGTCGCTGACATGTGGGATCGGGTCCACGGTCAACGTTGACCAGGCTCAAGCTAGGCTCGGTGGGCCGGATATTGGGCCGAGTAGGGCCGGTCTGGGCTAGGCCGGGCCCGGACACTTGTCGCGTAGGCAGGCGACCACGTGGTGCAAGCGGGCTGCAAGTGGGCTTAGGTCCCCGATGCTGGTCCATGGTGGACAGTGTGGTGCAGATCCATGGACCACAGGCATGCTCCGCGGTGGATCACATCTACTCCCTCTCTCTATCTTCGGTCTACGATGCACCAGGTGCACGCGGGTTCAGGCGGGGGTGCGGCGGCTCCCCCTCTCTCATGGCAGCACTCTTGCCGATGGCAAGCTCACATGTTATTGTGCTATGGCGGCTTGCAGGGGTAGCCAAGGGGGTCTACGGCATCATGAGGTCATGGGGAACTCCATGGTGGGCCAAAGATGGTGACTTGGATGTTTGGGCACCTGGCGTAGGTGTCGCGGCGAACGGCGGCAGCATGGATCGATGGCAAGGGTGCCAAGGACATTGGCACAGGCCAAGTGGGGCTTGTATGGCTTTCGGTTGCTCTAGCGAGCACGGCTAGGGTACCAGGCGAGGCTCCAAGGGCTCTAGTGAAGTTGGCCACGGCGGCAGTGGCGGGTTGCAGCGAGGTGGCTATGGCCATGATTTGGAGCTAAAGGTGGCCCTTTTCCCTCAATTGGGACCATGGGGAGGCTAGACGACTCATCGGCGATGACCTAAACGCGCGGCGGAGTCTGCACTATGATGAGGTGCACGATAGAGCTCCTATGAGCATGTGGCTTCGACGGGCAAGGGAAATACGGGGCTTTTCCTCCAACTGGATGGTCAACAGGGTGTGCAAGGTCACGACGAACATCATCAGCTCCTCCGCACGATGTGAGGTGGCTGGGATCGTCAAGATCGTCCATGACACAGTGATGCTCTGACATGTGGCCATGCCAATGAGGCGAGCATGACTACGGCATCCAGGCATCCTATGGCCAAAAATGTGGGCGCTTTGGTAGCTACATGTCAAGGCGAATCCATCCGCAGTGGTTTGGTAATCGCAACTAGCCTGGCATGGCTGGAACATCTCTAGCACAGCAGCGGTACGGGCGCGTGGCGGTCCAACGAGGTGGACATGACCAACGACCCTTGGTGCTTCTCTTCTCCTCCTATCTAGCGCGTGGGCGCGGGTGGCTAGGCTACTCAGGCGATGTGGGCCGGCGGGGCTAGGCTGCCTACTGCGGCTGGGCTGCTTTCCCTTTTCCTTTCCCCCCCTTTTATAATTCTTTTCTATTTTCTATTTCCCATTCTATACTATACCTTGGGTTCCTATCCTGGTATACATGTGTTGCCAAGCATGTACACATCCTATGGGGTCCACTAGGGGTCATCTAGGGTATTAGTGTCCAAGCCAAGGGTTGGCAACACACACACAACAAGTTATTTATAAAGGCTGAGTTGATTTTATTTCATCACATAAAATCAAGAAAAAGCAACTCACAAGTTGAATTAAAATGCAAATGCTTAACAAGCTAGCTTGGGATATACTTGTGTAACTACATGGGTGGTTTCCTTGTATGCACACTCACCATGCATGGGTTTTGTTAGAAAAATTTTTAAGTTCAAATTTTTGGTTCTAGGAAAAGCCCAGGTTGTTACAACGCCCGTATGCACACCGTATGATACACATAAGTGTGCACATAATTGCGCACATGTACAAAGTTTTCTCTGTGTTGCTTTGCCAGCCATGTGTGTAACCTGCCACTGCACTAACAAGCAAGTAATTGCGGCAGCCACACGGGCACATCCAAACCGTATGATATGGCCAGGCTCAATGGGTGTTTCATCAGAGTTTCATGGCATTAAATATGCTAATGTGGCACCGTATTGTTGAAGAGAGATATAAAGAAAGTTTCATGGCAGTAGAGAGCGTTTCATGGTGAAGAAACTCTTCTGCACTATTTCCAAAATATTGATGTGTTGGAAACTCAGCCATGAAACCCCCACTGAGACCGCTAAGTATTTAAAACTAAAATGTGCACCGTATGATACGCATTAGAACACTCGGCACATGTACACCATATGATATGCAGATTGACTAAACTATGCGAGAATCAGTGACATGTGATCAAATTGCACGCATAATTGTTTAAAACTAAAATATTTCAAACTGTAGGTATAGTTTTTTATCCAACTCAAATGTTACATTCAGATTTAGGTACATTTCCTTGATGAATGTGGCTTCGTTATGATCACCTCTCACATACACTGGTTCGTCACCCTCCACAAACAGGGCAAGATCCACATCTATACCAAGAGCAGATATGTCTTGATAGCCATTCCCTTCTTTCTCGTTTGTAACTTCAATCGACGATCTTCCTTTTACCTTGACGCACCACATGCTCACCGCCTCCATCACCTAGGTTTTTTCCATAGAATAATTGGACTACATCTTTTGCAAAAACAAAAGGTTCATCCAAGTAGGCAAGATGATTGAAATCTATGGTACGCATACCATACTTGTCCGTCATGACGCCCTTTGGTAGTTTTACCCACTTGCACCTGAAAATAGGGACCTTCATTTCTTCTAATCCATAGTCTACCTCCTAGATCTCTTCTATGAATCCATAGTATATCTGCGCACAATTTTCGCTGTCATAAGCTTTGATTTGGACACCACTATTTTGGTTGGCGCTCTTGGCATCTTATTTTCTCGTGTAGAATGTGTACGCATTTATGTTATATCCTTCGTACATCAACACTATCGAGGATGGTCCCATCACCAAGTGATAAAGCTCCTTTGAATTAGTTTGCTGACCCAAAAATTTCTCCTTTAACCATTGACCAAAGTTTTCTCTGTGTTGCTTTGCTAGCCATGTGTCTAACCTACCACTGTTTGTAGCTCATAGTTCTACCTTGTGCTCCTTGATATAGGGAGAAACTAGGCTTGCTTGGTGAAGGACAACAAAATGAGCTTGCCAGGAAGCATCAACCTCAACATGTACTGACCTTTCCCCAATCGTCCCCCTGCAATGTAGCCTTCCCTCATGCCGAGACATAGGAACACCAATTCGATTTAGACCTAAATAGTATGTGCATAACTCGATTGCCTCCTTTCGGTGTTTTTTACTGACAGATATTTGGTTCTTAGGGAACTCCGCTTGGTGAGAATAACAATCACAAATGGAGACGAGATTTATATTGGTTCGGGCCCTCAGGAAGCGAGTAAAAGTTGTACATCCAGTTGCCACTCTTGTATTGCTTGTATTCGGCGAGATTGCAATTACAATGTAGCTATTCCTATGAGAGAGTCAATGATTACAACAAGGGATATTGCTAGCTATTTATTTCTAGGATCAACTTGCCCTACAGGCTATGAAGTCGTGCCCTAATCAGAGTCTTGGTGCAATTTGGAGATATCCTTCCTTGAATAGGGTCGTGTGAGCCTTCAGGTCTTCTTTGATCTGAAGTCGGTAGTCAGCTTAATTGGAAGTCAGGGTACCCGGGGGTTTGGCAACTTGGTCATCTACGAGTAGTTGGGATTGCCTTAGTCGGGTGGTTTGCAGTTTAGGTACCAAGAAGTAGCCTGAGTTACCAATAGCGACCTAAGTCCTGATCTCGTGCAAGCCGATAAGGGTGCGCTATTGGGAGATGAGCTTGTTCCAGTGCCATCCCCGGGTCATCTTGTCTTGTCAATTCTATTTCACACGCAAGCCTAGGGGTGCACAATCATCTATTAGTCGAAGCACTACGTCGGCTCGGTTCCCCATGAGTGCGCGTGGTGGAGTTTTAAATCCTTTTAAATTGGCATGGCAATTGAGATTCCTAGGAGGGCGGCTTGATCCTATTTAATTAGGCCCGCTTGTGTTGAATCTGCAACCTCCATTCTCTATCATCATAGCGAAGATGAGGAAGAAGACCATTGGCCGCAAGCATCCCTGCAAGGTGCCACGTCTACTGCTCGCAAACTCACCTAGCCAATCGGCCGCCGCGGTGTTGTTAGGCATTACGCCGTCGCCTCCACCATCTACACCCATGTCTCTGTCCCCGACGTCCTCTGAAGCCCCAGCGCTAGTGGCGGCATTGCCGCTAGCTATGCTCCCTATGCCTCCATCCCTAGCGGTCCTAGGATGGGAAGTTGGGGTAGATGATGGTGCTCCACCAGGGTACCCGACCGGGCCTTTGACCTAGCCGGTGCCGTCGACATTGGAGGTGGTGATCGAGCTCTCTGGCAAGGATGAGCCGGAAGGCCCAACCCCGCCGGTGGGTATTGATCCCGCTGCCCTAGTCATCTCCACTGCCTCGGTCACCTCCATGGCCTCCACTGCCCTCAACATCCCTAGCCCCTCTAGTACCTACGCTGGTGGCTCGCTAGACACGAGCCATGATGAGGAGATTGCGAGGAAGCTCTTTGTCGGGCTAATTCGCGAGGCCATTAGCATCCTGGGGGATAGTGGCCTGGTGATCCTTAGCAGTGATAGTGAGGAAGAATCCATCGAGGAGGAGGCTGACGAAGAGGAGAAGAAGGAAGAGTTGAAGGATGAGCCTGTGGGCAGCGGTTCGTCGATGGGAGGCGAGGCTGATCCCATCTCACCACCATGCCCTTAAGGAGTTTGGCGATGATCGGAGGTGGTGTCTGCCATGATCGTCTTAGATTAGGGCTCTAGTTTAATCATTTGTAAAACCATCTTTACGAATCATCAATGAAATGAGTAGATCCTGATATGGATGTTTTTTTAATTTTTCATCCACATCCTTTAAACTGTCCCATGTTCGAGCCACCACGAGCAGAGTCGCAACGCACTTTGCACGCGGATGTGGTCTAAAGTCAGGATATTTTCTTTTTATAGTTTTGTCCTCATCATTGAGTTTACACGCAACCCCGAGCTATAGCCTAAACGAGATGCTATAGTCGGGTTGGAGCTTTGCTCTCAACTTAGGTGTAAAGTATCTTAAATATGAATTATTCACAGGGCATCGAATCGCTGATTTTATTCTGGGAATAAAAAAGTTATAGTTTTCCTTGTGAATAACTGTTAGCGTGGCAGTCTAGGCGCACATTACGGTTGCCGAGCGATTTTTCGGGGATCGTGCATGACAGACGGCCATTTTACCCCTTACTTCGCCTTGGTGGCAACCACTACGCCTATCCTCCTGCTTAGCACTTCCAAACTCTGCCTTTGGCCTTTTTGCCTTTCCCCTCGCCCTCAACACTTTCCCTCCGCCGTCATCATGGCCTCAAGCTCTAGGCACGATGCCACCGCTTGCCACAAGGAGGCTACCACAGTGGCGCCGTAGCCCCTAGTCCAACCTAAAGAAGAACCCAAGGACCTGGTGGAGCCGATGGAGCTGATGGTCATCGTTCAACTGAACGAATACTGGGTCACCTCGACGACATCATAAATGAATCTAGAGACACTGAGGGGCGTGGTCTTCTCACAGAAGGTTATGAATGGACTGCCACCCAAGGTGAGAATCATCCGACCTGGGACACCTTCCAAATCGCCACCTTTACCACTGATTACGAATGTGGGTTTGGAGTGCCACCATCCAAGTTCTTAGAGCGAGTCTATAGGCATTATAAGATCAAGGTTGCTCAGATGCTGCCCAATGCCTTTCTATGTGAGGTATTGCTTGGCATCAAGCCTATCTTGATTTATTGCGCTACTTTTACTCGAGCATGTACCATGGCACCAATCTGTTCCTTGGGTCAATTGGTTTCCCCCTTAGGATGAAGGCAGAGTACATTGTGTTCCCAATTAAGTCCTCCTAGAAGGGCTAAGTAGAGAAATGGTTTTACATTGATCTTCGGGAGAAGAATGTCATCAAGGCCGATTATAGGATGCCTGTGACTAGTGAAGCCTGGTATTTGACCCCATCATGACTGAGAATATGAGAGGTCATATTGAGCATGTTCGGGCTCTCCGAGAAGCTAGATTGATTGCCGCACACGTGGTTGAGACCTTTGCTAGGTGGAGGATCATTCCCTTGAAGCGTAGGAGTCTGGCCTGCACATACTCGGGGATCACAGATCTGATCAGAGAGTTAGTGGCATGTTAGATGCCCCATCCTGACTTTGTTCTTATTCAGAAATATTACCCCTTTGATTGTTTGATTTTAACCTTGCCATGTTTTATTTTTCTAGAAGTGCTAGAGAAAGAGATCACTCGCCGGGTGAAGTTTATCCTTGGCGTGGATCTGGCCAACTAGGAAGGTGTCATGTAGCCATATAGCACCGAGAATCCACTACCTGGGGTGAGTGGCTTAGGTCTCTTTAGACTTGCTTCCCAAAATAGTTAGGTTAACTCGATCTCTTGTGTTGTCAGGTGCTCCCCAATATCAGAATTGTCTCGAGAAGCATTGATTTGAGCGACGATGAGGGGACACCACAGGAGCTCCCCAAGCCCCTGCCCCTAAGCCTTTCGGGGCCATGGATGAACTGGTCCAGGGACAAGCAAGGGTCCGGGAGAAGACTACCCAGGACCAGGTAGTGGTTGGGGAGAGGCTACCACAGGAGCAGGCTATCACCGAGAAGACCCCCGCCCCCAAGTCGAGGATGACTCGGGGAAAGAAAACAAAGGAGGACACAACACAGGGGCTAGCGAAACCCAAGAAGACATCGGCCACCCAACCGGCCCCTCAAGTTGAGAAGAGAAAGCTCCGATCTCAAGGGGAACCCGATAACATCTCCCTTCTAGAGAGCAAGAGGGCTAGGAGTAAATCCAAGAGCCCTCCGTCTGCAGAGGGTGCGAGGGTGGCCATGACCCAAGGCGGCGCTAGTGAAGAGCGCTCGATCAGGGACCCACCCTGAGGACATGACTAGGTATCCACTATGATCGTCTTTGTTAGGTTATTTAAGGCATTCGCTTATCTGGACGATGTTGATGGTCACTAAACACCCAATTTCACCATCAACATTCCACCCAATTCAAGGTGAAACAACATCACATGTGCCATATTATTTTTAAAATTCAATTAGTTCCACTTGTACTTGAAAAAATATTAGTATCTAGGAAAAATAAAAAAAATGGACAAATGATGTGCATAGGAGGTAATGGGATGTGGCAGGGGCCGTGGGCCAATAGTGCCACATCGACCGACGCCTAAGGGCGTCGCCCAACACCCCACCTAGCCTACCACGTCACTGATGTATGTGATATGCAAGGTGGCACCTGTAGGAGTCATCACCATGCTTGATCCATGTCGGTTTGATCCAAAGACGGAGGGTGACTCTTATAGCCTCATTTAATCCTTTGTAGTCTACCTCCTGTTTGTAGGCCGAGTAGGACCTAGTTACTATAGGAACATACTCTGCCTATGTTTCCCTTAGTAAATCCCTAGAATTAAACAATAGAAGACATAACTTACCGACATTAGAACTAGAAGACCTTCGTGATCTCCTCTATACTCCTTTTATCTTAAGTGCTGTTGCTACTCCTGGTTAAGTTAGATTGTAGTTAATCTCACATGTTTTCCTGTGGATACGATACTTGGAATACTTCTGGGTAAAAGCTACAGTGGTATCCGTGTGCTTGTGGATCTTTTTTTGTTTGCGTTAATAAATACGAATAGAGGTTGAGCTCCAATGGATCCACGAGCTCACCGTGATTCACTTGGAGGGGCCAAACTGACCTCCAAACTGCCATTCTAAGCACGGCAACTGACCTACCTACCATGTAACTGCCTCCAAGGGCCATCAAGCACCATTGGATGGCAAGGTAATGGGAAGGACGGTCGGCCAATGCCCCCTATGTCAGCCGATGACACCCTACCTCTCCACCGCCTCTCCTTCACCTACAAGTACCCCAATGCCGTCTACACACTATAATAGGGGCACTGGAGCTCGGTGGAGATCATCACTCAAGCATTCAAAGCTCTCTAGAGGCTCTCCAAGAGTAGTAGCTTAGAAGTAGTAGCTAGCTAGTAGTGATAGAGTAGAGCGGAGCTCGCCTCGAAGTCCAAAAGAGTCTTCTAGTCTAATATAGCTTCTTTGTAATCTTTCTTTTAGCATTTACTTTATTTAGTACTTTACTTTGTCAAGTACTTTATTTAGTAATATAGCTCTTCTTAGTTCAAGTCCTGTCTTGCTCTTGTTAATCATTGGTGAGTCTAGGTGCTTGTCCTTTGGCATTTACATCATTATTATCTTAGTGTTTAGTTCGTTCATCATTAGTACATGTTCTACCGTATGGTTAGGGTGTTTCGATCTTATTTCACTAGAGCTTTGATCGAACAACGAGTTTCTAGATTAAACATGGTGCTTAGGCTATATCTTGCCTGTAGGTTGGCTAGATCCTTGGATAGATTATGGTAGTTGGTAGGTGGTGATAGCCCTGTCCTTCCTCTATATTCCACCACATTGGGTCTAGTTGTTAAAATGTAGGGCTTGTAGTGCATTGTGCCTGATTGAATTTAGGGCAAGTACGCCCCTCATACTAAGGACATTCTCACTATCATTAATTTACTTTTATTGCTTTAAGATTACATACTCTGCTTCTTACACTCAGCTACACTACGCTTCTAGTTACCACTATTTGTCTGATCAACCCTTTTATCTTTTCTTTAACATTCCTCATCCATCACCCTGTCGCTAAACTTACCTACTTTGTCTACCTAGCCACATCCCTTGACAAGCCTAACCGCCTTCCTTTGGGAAAATATAAAGTTGACACTTGGTTCTCACCAAGAGAAGTGCTACATGATAGTTCTATACGCTTGCGGAATCCCCTTTCCTATATACACACTTATGAACCGTCAACTGGTGCATGTTACCAATCTATTGCTAGGTTCTGCTAGCTAGGTCCCTATCTTAGCAACCTTCTTTTCCTTTTTCATTTTCTTTTTAGTTACCTTCTTTCCTTCCTAGCACGGTCATGGCCAATAGGACCATCCATGAGTTTTCTGCCCCCTTGGCTGCTAATGTAGCCACTGGTCCTGATGTCATCAATGCTGACACTCACTTTGAGATTAAGCTTGCATTCATCATGATGGTGCAAGCTAGTCTTTTCTATGGTAAAGCCCATGAAGATGCTAATGCACATCTCCAACACTTCTTGGAGATTTGTAGTACCTATACCATTAAGGGAGTGACCCAAGAGGCCATACGTCTTCATCTTTTTCCCTTCTCCTTGTTGGGAAAAGTGAAACAATGGTTTTACTCGAACCGCAATGCTATAGATACATGGGACAAGTGTTCAATTGCTTTCCTATCTAAGTTCATCCCGATGGGTAAGACCAATGCTCTATGCAACAAAATCTCTAGCTTTCAACAGCAAGCTGATGAATCGATTCCCAAAGCCTGGGAACGAATGCAAGAATATGTTGCCGCATGCCCACACCATGGTATAGAAGACTAGCTTTTGATCCAGAACTTCTACCATGGCTTAGTTCCATTGGATAGGAGCCATTTAGATGCAACCGCTGGAGGAGCATTCTTTTCGCTTAATGTCATAGATGCCAAGGCATTGATCGAGAAGATGGTTTCCAACCAAGGATGGAGTGATGAACGACTATAGCCCCGCAAATGAGGTATGCATTCTCTTAAAGAAGCTGACTAGAAAATTGCGAGAAAATGAGTGCCCAAGAAACTGTACAAGCCATGGACACCC